GTTTACCAGCGGTAATGAAGAGCAGGGAATCGTTCATTTTAGACGGAAGACTGGTTCGAAGAATAGTGGACTGCGTCCGAGGTCGAGTTGAAAAATCTCGATAAACCACTTAGTGATGTATGCAAATCGTTAGCGAGGCGGTTGACAAATACATGACGTTGGAAATGGAATTGATTACGATTGCGCCCAAGCCCAATTGTTCAAGATACAATAAGCCTAATTAATTAAATCACAAAAGAGAAAAACAATACATGACCTGTGGTTTAAATTTGTGGACCATCAGCTCTCACCAGATTTCTGACAGATTATTGAACGAAATTATTAATTTACATTTTTGGCTGTGGCAATTATGACGCTAAGTGGCACCTATGCGGTTTGGGAATGATGAAGCAAAATTCGCTTCTTTAGCATATATCAACATCCGATAGGTGATAAGCAGTTGATTTACATTTCAAGAACCTGTGCTGCTTCTGGTTGACGTATTTTCACAAAAGTCTATTTTATTTAACGTGGATCGAGAGACTCTGTTGTGCTGATAAAACTGACATCAATACACCATACTACATTGCTTGTTAATCGCCATGGAAATTATGCGTCTGGGCAACTTAAGAGAAGATCATCTTTTCGATTCTATCCATAGAACTGAAATTTATAAAAAAGATGAATGAATAATTTTAATAAGAAATAACAATTCAAAGTAGCTACATTGTCTCCAATTTTAGAAGACCGTGATAAAAACTTTCATGTTTGTACTGATAACATTGTACCGAATGTCAAAAAATTTTCTTCCGCATCAAATCAATAAAACCGGACTGAACCAATGCAACTGTAACAGTTTCGTAATGCCCATCTGATCAAGATTTTACTGAGAGTATATCACGAAATAACCCCTAAACGATAAAGTAAAATGTATTTCTCTTAAGACCCACTTCTGTTTAGGAGCACGTTTCATTGAGAAAGGACGCTTCTTAGATCGCAAACAACGCATTTCGACACTCAGTCGGCATCCATTCCAGTGTTGCATAGTGAATGAGGTGTGCAAGTCGCTTATACCTGACGCAACCACTACCACTAATAAGGAACAAGCGTATCCTGGTATGGGAATACGTGTAATCAATCGGGCTGTATCGATATTTTACATGCCAGAGCCATCTGTCAGCTACCGTCCATCAGAGTCATCAATGTATTTGCAAGGTTCATTGAGTAGAAACTCCACATCCATCCCTGTTTGGTTCAGCGGATCTCACCCATCCCTGTTTGGTTCAGCCCGTTAAACCTCCACAGAGGCCATAGTGACAAACAATCTGACAGCGGATTGACTAAGTTCAAGGCATGATCCCTTATAGCTGCGGCCTATTGCGACAGTAAATCAGTAGAATACCCGATCTGCAGTGTACAATAGGCAGGTACAAACGAAATGGCCTCTTCGACCTACTAGAATCCAAAACCGTGAGCTCGGAGTTGTTCACCCGAGTCCACCACACTGGCTGTGTTCTTATTTATACACAATTACGAATCCGTCATTGTCTCAGGTTGGCCGCATATCTACCTCGCAGGCTATTCAGGCGTACGGAGATATAGGATTGGCTGAACTTGGCGTGGTCCAAAATGTCTACACCATTGTACGTCATAATGCAGATTACCCAAGCCCTAATAGGAAAAAGACTGGTACAACAGAACAGGCTTTATTGACCAATCAGAAGCCAGAGCCACGGGTCAGGCGCCTTCCATCCGAGTCCACCTCAATGGCCACGCCGCTTTGCATATACTGCACCTCAGTCGTGTCCTTCTCTGGTTAACTGCCTTCTTTTCCCGCATGCCATTGGATCGCAGAGAGACACGGGATTGGCTGAGGCCTGGTGGTCCAACATGTCTGCGCCCTGATCCGACGCCACACTGCCTCCTCCTCAGGAGTGAAGCTGTCCTCAGCTTCTGGCTTGGTTCCTTGCACTGTTGCTGATATCCAGTGTTGGTAAAATATCCAGTTCGACACTCCCCGCACCCCACATCTGGCAGGATAGTGGCCCACGCGAATAGTTGACGAGGACGTTGCTCTTGTAGACTTGCAGGAAAGACTCATCATCCATTGAAGGTCCTTCGCAGTTGCAGTCCAGCTGGCTTTCACTGTCCAAGTCGTCGTCGCTGAGTTGCCAATGCCTCTTCAGACACAGTAGTCCCAATCCCGGGCAATGTCTATGGATCCACGTTATTGGACATCGGATAAACGCCATGACAATTTCAGCTGGCATTCAAGAATCTTCGCCTCTGTTGACCATAGATGAGAAAGGGCTGGGGTTCGATTTGCGTTATTCGAACGCATCCGCTGCCACCAATGTAGAATGCCCAAGCCCTAATAGGCAAAATACTGGTACAACAGAACAGGCTTTATTGACCAATCACAAGCCAGAGCCACGCGTCAGGCGCCCTCCATCCGAGTCCAAAACGCTAGCCACCCCGCTCATTATTTACTGCACCTCAGTCGTGTCCTTCTCTGGTTGGCTGCCTTCCTTTCCCGCATGCCATTGGATCGCAGAGAGACACAAGATTGGCTGAGGCCAGGTGGCCCAACATGTCTGCGCCCTAATCCGACGCCACACCACAACACTCAACACCACACCACTACACGATCTCTTCCGTAGAATTGTGCTATTCGTAAGCTTTTATTTTAATTATCAATTTGTTGGTTTTTTCTTGTCAAGATATTGCTTAGCTTTCGTGACTTACAATTTTTCTTAAGTCTGCACTCAGCTGTCGATTTCTCATCTAATGCCTAACCTAATTTGTACATTTCGATGCGGAACCCCACTGTCATAACTTTTCCTGTAACAGTCGTATGTTTACCTGGTTCTGATCAACCCGAAGATATATTGTTGGCATATCAGGCATGGTGAGTTGTCACTAGCAGTGGTAACTGCTAATTAGATCAGCGGAAGTTTTGAAGGACCACGTGTAATAATGTTTGTTATAATAGGGCCATATAAATTGTCGGCGAATGCTTTTTTCGTGTCCAGCAAAAGTAGTTTGTAGGACTGACGTCTATTGCAAGCCTTGATAGCTGCTAATAAAATTCTATTCCTTAAGAAAAGACCAAAATATATGGATACGTCGTGTTCAAAGTCTAGGCCTTATTGTGCGAATGATGCCGGAGTCTGGACCCACTCGTCAAATTCGTATCAAATGGCTAATGGCATCTCATTACCTGACAAAGCGCCTTATGTTGCTGACACTGCGTTCCTTGGGTACCAGTTCTCACATGAAGTAGTGCTACTTCCCCATGCTTACTCTTTTTCGCTGAATGACGAGGTTGTTACTGTTACCGGCCATATATGCGATGGTGACTCGATAGTATGCAGAGTTGTTGTGGTTTAGTTTGCGAGCGACCTTGATCATTGTACGCGAAAAACTCGAAGAACAGTTCCTGGTTCCACGAAACAACAAATGTGATACACCGTTCGTTATCATTTTCTATTTCCGGTACTGTGTGTTAGTGTGTTGTGTTACACAGAGCAGTGAGTTCGCATCGTTGCCCATAAAGTCGAGTTGGTGGTGAACAATACTTTTCGACTTCTGGCCTCGCCTTTGTCGGTAACCAGAGATTATTGGAGTTGGTGCGGCACAAAGTGGTTTATTTTGAATAAGTCTTGAAAGATGTTCAAGGGTGTCTGTGTGGTACCATGTGGGGCTGCAGCTAAGTTCTAAAACTTGGTGTGAGTTGCGGTGCAACATAGGTGGGTAGAATGTCGACTGGGTTCTCTTAATGAGATGGCACAGTTCGTCGGAGACATCATTAAGCACAACGTAAACCTAGACATGCCGGTCAGTAGGATTTGCTGGATACCGATTTCTGCAGCCAGTCGTATGGTGTCCACCAGACGTGACTTGAAGAGGAAATCAGGCCAGTAGTGTCAGTAGGTGGCCTGCTCTAGTGAACGAAACCTATTTTTTGAGTACTTTGAGAATGCGTTCGACGCAGGTGGTGGTGGTAGCCACGAGTGTTATAGTGTCGCAACATGTGGAAAAACGAGAACAAGTGACCGCTTGCATGGGCGAGAATCGAACAAGGTGTGGCAGCAATATGATAACAAATCTGTTTTGAGAAGTGTCCAGTAGGACCTGTTCTGAATGAAAAGATGGGTCTAATCAATGTGATTGTCATAACTTTGATTGAATTTCTGGAGAGAGGCATGCGACACGGTCAGCGTCATATGACCTCAGTCGTGACTGCCACTTCGTCTAAGTGCCGTTTTGTAAGTTTTTGAGCTTTGAATGCGAAAGGCTTTATCGTCTCACTCCCACATGCGCCCACACACCTTTATCCGCTGGTTTGATTAAGAGAAGTTTGTTTTTTTTAACAACGAGGCACAACGATTCAATCCCACCGCACTGCAGCACTAAAAGGCGCCAGTTTGGCGCTCATGTGCAGCTCTCCGCGGCCCCCACTGCTTTCGTGACACCCGGCCCTGCGTCGTCGCCTTGTCCACACTGTATACTCGTATTTAGTCGTATCAACATAACTCGACAACTTTTTAGCAAATGACATCCTCGTTTAGTAAATTTCGAACCTTTTGAAGCTCTCTTCTTGGGATCCCTTGTGCTTGCTCGTTAACTGGGTGGCTACAAGTGTAGTTTACAATGCGCACCTTCCTTGTGCCTCGATTTTTTGCTACTCCTTTGGTTTTTTCACTTGATTAAAGTAACTTTACGTGCTCGATATGCTCGACTGCTTAACCCTGTGTGTTGTCAGTAAGGTAGCCAAATGTGCACTACTGCTTTACTGTGTTTGAGTTGCCGTTTCTAAAGTACTAATCAAACATTCTCGTTTAACTATGCACTGCATGCCATATACATTGACAGGCGTCAACAGCAGTTGGCATTTTCACCTCGAAATTAACACAAATACCTCCTCTAGAATGCTTCACTTTGTAAGCGTTGCATGTCACTGAGTGACTCTTGCTTTTATTGAGCCACCTTGAAGTTATGCTGTCCTTCACCTTCAGGAAATGGCCGTATTTGTGTCTGGCTTATGGCCATCAGCCATTCATGGATTGGCTTCTGCATTTTTACTGTTTGTGCATCGCTCAATATTCTGGAACATCAATGTCCTGGTAGGTTCCACAATTTCGCTCATACCCCTTCGTTGTAGTTTGATGGACCCCTGTGGATTACTTTTGTGGAGTGTGTGTTTACAGTCATCGTGTGTTTCATCCGCTTAAGATCAAGTCACTTCTCTATTATTCAGTGTTTAAAACAGGGCATATCTGCCGGCGTCAAAGAACACTCTCTGGTACACCATTTTTGTATGTGCTGACATATACCGTCTTGTAGAGTGCGAAACTGTCATTAACATTCTCCCTGATGATTATTTGCAACAACCTATGTCTCTACTATATGGACATGCCAATGTACTTCGTAGGACGTTCTTTGGCCGTGCCTTTCAGTTTGGTGAGTTCAAATTTAGTGGCATACTGACCTGCCGCTAAAGCTCTCGTGTGCTCGCCTCAAAATCACACAAGGTAGAGGTAGACGTCTTCGCAGGCAGCTCAAGCCCAAGCGTCCTGTTAGCTGCAAGAGCTGTGATGCCCGTAGTTCACGTGTGCATATGGATTGGCTTTTTGACAGTTTTATGCGTTAATTTTTGTGCATTTATCAAAAAACGCGATTTACGCGCTTGAGGGATGGTGTTTTGAGAAGGTATTTGCCCTAGTCAATCACTGTGTTCATTAATGAAGTCGTCAGGTTTGTGTGTCAGTGAAGAAGCTGGAACGGATGTGCATCCGTTGTACCAAACCAACCTTGTCTACTTCCAAAATGTAGCAACAAAGACTGAAGTTTACCGGTCGGTGGTTCTCTGTTGCATAATTACGGTAGTGTCATGGACCTTCTGGTGGCCGGTAGACCAGCACGTGTTTTAGTAGGCATGCCTTAGCCCCATCGTCAGTGTGGTAGCTAGATAAAGATGTCCACCAACCTTGGCACCACAAAGTCCACACGCGCAAGAGCAGAATCAGTTGTGTGTGCATGTGTGAGCGAGTCGAAATGTGTTTTCATAAACTGTTGTGTTGAAAATTGTTTTAGGTTTTCATTTATTGCCATCGAAAGTCGAGTGCTAGTGTGGTCGCCCTCTTGGGAGCTCTCCTGGTTGTCGTTGGCTACGTCGTCACGTTGATTGAGGAGAATCTGACGAGTAAGTTCATCGTGAGTTCGGGTTGCTTTGCCGTACTTGTGATGCAATAGGTCGACAGGTCCTGTACACGACGCATGCACCTCTGGACCTATCGTCACAAGTCCACGGCACCAATCCTTTGCTGTTGCCAACTTCATGCCTTAGTTTAAATTGATATTTTATCGTCATCGTGTCAGTGACGGTTATTGCTCCGACGTTTTGTGTGTTTAATTGCCAAATGCTCTGGCGTTGGTGAACGTGTTTGTGGAGAATGCAATGGAGTTTATCCCGGTGGCTTTTTCGGTTTGCTGTACTGGTGAATTGTGTAGGTATTCCTTCACGAGCGAATCGTCATAGTTGGTGTATTTGCTCGATCGCAAGGCGATTTGTCTAATTCCCATTCGTAGTGATTGCGTCGCTTGTAATCCGGGTAGAATGGGTGATTCTTCATTGTTGAGGCTGCCTTACGTGACTCACCCGTTGAACTACCAAAACCGCTGAGCGTCTGGTCTACAGTGTAGGGATTGTTGTTTAAGGCACACATGAGTTCAGCTGATTCAGGCAACCCAACAGCCGCCGTGACGAACCGACCCCGCACCAGTCCCCCTTCCATCCACAAATGCATCTAACTGTAGTTTTTACCATTTAAGATTTGCTGATCGCCGAAGGACTGGTTTTTGGTATTTTCGCCGCTTTGTTTGCTGTTATGTACTACCAAGAGGCAAGCCGTCTTGCGCCTGGAGCCAACTACGAAGTCCATTTGAAGCAGGTCTATTTGAATAACGTTGTGTGCAGCTTTCTCACTTTTGTGGCCATCATCTTCACCGAGACCTCTGAGATCATGTTCCTTCCATTTTCCCCTTAGTAAGTCCCTATGTGTGTGGTCTGGTTATACGAGGTGTCTACTTGCGGTCCTTACAAGCCTGATGTCTCCCACATCGGCGCAGTGTAATCAAGGATTTATTAACCTAAAGTCGTGCGCAAGGTGTATATTAAGTCAAAGACAAAATTGAAATTAGATTTTGTTGCCGTCGAATCAGTGGGATCTTGGTCCAAGCATTTTACCGGAACCCGATGAGATACGCGCAGGACATGTGTTCCAGGTAGCGTCACGCAAGGCCCTCTGTAATTTGTTAATTAAATTATGCAACAGCTCGGACAGGTGAAGCTGTTGGTCGTGTTATGTGGGTGTTAAAGGCAGGGATTCATGTGGGATTGTGAGACAGGTGTGTGGATGGATGTGTTTTTAGCAACCGCACTGAGCGACACCAGGTCATTGAGCCGTCTTGTACAGAATGCACTAAATTCCTCAGAAAGGCAAATTGAGAGCCTTCGTTTTGTGTGAGGAGAACCAGCGACAGGTCCCAGTTGCCCGTAATTTCTAGTGGGTTTTGTGTCAAGTGTTAGAAGCGATGTGAACGTTGGTGTACAAAACCACAGCTACTTCGACCCATGACACCTGGAAGGTCAATATCGAAGGGGGGTAATTAGTTAGGAGTCATGGCGAGAATCGTGGCGGCTACTAAGGGTTTCTCCATTGTCGTGATCTGTAGCCTCGAAACCTTGGTCTTCTGGTTGCTGGTTTCATTGAGCTGCATCGCCTCGTCAATTGTCGGTACGGTTGTCCTACGCGAGGTCACGACATATTCGACATCACGACGGGAGTTGATTGGCCTGGCCCGGTCCCTACTTCAGACCATCCTATCAGTGATTATATTCCGTGTCTACACGACGGCCTTCTGGTGGGTGGGTGTGCTGCTCACAGCCACAGGAACGGCCATCTATTGGAAAGCCCACATGACCAATGTCACCGAGACAAGCACACCAACAGACGCGAGCACAAAGGACAGTCTGCCGCTGGTCGCCAACTTGGTCGACTGAAGTTCTCGTCCGAGGTGGTTTGTCTCAAGCCCCATCACTTTCACCGGAGATTATCATATCCGTTTAACCCAACGTGCGTGAAACGCTTGCTTTCATTTTGTTTTTAGTGACTCACTCTTTTGTCTTTCTACTTTGTACAATTCGACATGTGTGTGTGTGTGGAACCTATCTTTGAATAGCTGATTGCTTTGGACTACGGCACGTGCATTTTGTTGCGTCGTCTGAAGGCACGACCTTAAGTTTGTAAGAGAGTGGTCCTTCGTAATTTTTAAGGTGAAGAAGCATTCTACGGTGAGACAAAGCGATTTGGATGATGGATATGACGGAAAGAAATGGACAAACCCGCACTCGTGAACAACTTTGCAATTAGCGATTTTCAGTACGCGGTTTTCTCCATGTTGTTAGGTGCTCCAACACCGAGCTAATGTGAGAACTTGCCAGCGGAAGCCTATAAAACCAAGACACTGCTCAGTGGTCTGCTGCTTTGTTAACCCATATGGCTTCAATCGGCTGCGGGTGCCTTCCTTGTATCCCACCTGTCAGTTGCGTTGTCAAGTGCAGTGTAGACGGCGCCCACTTGCAGGGAATCGCTGTTTAAAAAGCGAGCCGCCTACAACATGTCACGGGTAGACGCACTACTATCCCCTAACTTCATTAGGGCAAAAAAGAATTGACTGACACGAATTTTGTTAACCGAATTATCTATAAAGACGCTAGTTGATTCAACCAAAACCTTCTCAATCAGTTAATCGAAATTCTGAATTTTCAGCCTCGGCAAGGTGCAGCTTAATTGGACCACGTCATGAACTCACGTAGTAGTGTGTGTCTGAATGACCTACGAGGTAGATCAGTCGCCAACCTAAAAAGTACGGATGGGAAGCAGTATTAAAACGATTGCAG